CGGGACGTCACGTGAAAGACCCCGAGGTGGGGCGTTACATAAACTATGCCTTGTTGATAGATCCTTGCCGCGTCTTGGTTCAACCTCTTCAGATTATCCCCTATGGATACGTTGCAATAGCATGGTGAGGTCCTAATTGATTCATTCTACAGTACCAACGATCTCACATAGCGTTCTCTAGCATGACTCGACAAATGATGTCCGAAATGATCTTTGCGAGTGCTTCTCCCCTTGTAATGCTCCTTGGATTTTCAGATCAGTAGGGCTTTGTCTACACATCAACAAGGTACAACAATACCATGATTAAATCCTATCAAGATGAATTATTGTCATATTAAGCCTTGTCAATTTGCAGTTGTGGAGCAATGTCAACCCTTCTACAGTTTCTTGAAACAGATTCATTATTAGATTTCCTCCAAGGCCTTAAGGAATCTTATGCCACGGTTCGGAGTCAGATCCTCTTTATGGATCCACTCCCTACCATCAACAGAGCATATACCTTACTCTTACAAGAGGAACAACAACGCACCATTCAAGACAGTCGCACCGTTGTTCCCGATCCTGCTGCCATGGCCGCGCTTCGTCTTAATGATGCTCGCACTTCTCTATCTACGGGTTCTTCCAAACCCATTTTATATTGTGCTCACTGTGGAAGGAATGGACATCTTGAAAGCAAGTGTTTTAAGAAGAATAGATATCCGGAATTGTAGAATGACCATAATAGGCACCCCAACAATGATTCTGGTCGCTAACAACGTTCACGCCTAACTGGTTCTCTGACTATTGCCACAACTACCACCTTTGATTCCTCCTCTCCACCTACCCTTACTGTTGCACAGATAGAACTACTCCTTCATTTACTTCCGGCTGGTTATACTACACCTTCTTCTCACCATTTGGTGAATTTAGTAAATATTTTTATTTGTTTAAATTCCACTTCATCCTAGATCCCAGACTCTAGTGCAACAGATCTTATATTTTGTGATGCAACCTTGTTTTTTGAGTTTAAATGATAATACAACTTCCAACCCTGTGTCCCTTCCTGATGGGACTATGATTCCTGTTTGACGAATCGGGCAGATTTCTTTACGACTAGATCTAACTCTTGATCGTGTTTTATTTGTTCCCCAATTTCGATTTAATCTTCTTTCAGTTAGTAAACTTACTACTGCTACTTCTCTCACCTCTGGTACTTGCTTTTATAAGGACCCAATCTCAATGATAACTTTAGCGACGGTAAGCTGCATGGTGGTTTATACTACCTTTCCATACACCAACCCACTTCTTTGACATCCACCACCACACCAGGCACACACTTTGACCTCTGGCATCGGCCGTTGGGACATCCGAGTCCATCCTCTCTTTATCATCTGCAAGCTTTAGACAATAGCATTTCATTTTCTAATACTTTTCTTTGTAGTGTGTGCCCACTTGCAGAGCAATCTCGCTTACCATTTCCTTCTAGTACAATTTCTACTATTTTATGCTTTGATTTAATTTATTTGGATGTTTGGGGCCCATATCAAACCCCCTCTTTAACTGAGGCACGTTTTTTTTTCTCACTGTGGCTGATGATTATTCTCATAGCACATGGCTTTATTTAATGTCTTCTAAAGCTGATGTAAATCGTTTTATCATTGATTTCTTTTCCATGGTAAAAACCCAATTCAATAAACAAATTCGTTGCATCCGCTCTGACAATTAAAAATAATTTTTCAATCAACTTTTACCATTTCTTTTCTAGACTTTATGGGTGTTGTTCATCAATCGAGTTGTGTCCACCCCTCAACAAAATGGGGCGGTGGAGCGCAAGCACCGACACCTTCTAAATATTAATTGCCCATGCCCTTATGCTTCCAATCCAACCTTGCCATTGTTTTTTGGGGTGAATGCATCTTCATTGCCGCCTACATCATAAACAAACTTCCCACTGCCGTCTTGACTGGGAAAACTCCATATGAGGTTTTACAAGGTCAGTTACTGAATGTCACTCACCTTCGAGTATTCTATTGCTTGTGTTTTGGGTACAACACCTCCATTCAAAATAAATTTGATGTTCATGCTACTCCGGGGCTTTATTGGGATATCCCAAGGGTAAAAAAGGGTATGCCATTTTTTATCTCCTTGCCAAAAAGCTATATGTGAGTCGAGATGTTGTGTTTCACGAAACAATTTTACCTTCTTCGATGCTCCCCAACCTAACCTTGTCAGGCTCACCTATATCACCATTACCTATCACACAATGTGACGAGATAACCCAACCTCCACCTACAAATCATACACCACCACAAACACCCTTACTGTGACATCTCCGAATTTGGCCTAGGAGCCGAGGGCAAGTGATCGATGAATGAACGGGTAATTCGAGCCAAGGGTCGGGAATGGAACGGACAGTATGGTCGGAACGAGTGTACCGAGGGTTGGTCATGGTTCGATCGAAAGATTATCCATGAATGGACCTAGGGATTGACAATGGAATGACTACCTGATTACGCAAGATGATTAGAGTAATATGACCGTGGAATGACCCTTCGATCATACGGGCTGTTAGTGAAACGGTCCGGGATAGCTATGGATCAGTCCGATGTCGGCATGTATCGGTCACGGGTGATACCGCACGGCCATGCATCGGTCACGGAGGACCATGAGTTAATTCCGGAGTACTGGATTCCACAATGCCACATGACAATCGAGGATCGACCATGGGTCGTTGACACTCGAACGTGGACCGATCACAAATCGACCACGAATCATTACGCCAAGTCAGGTAGGCAATAGACGAGCCATATGCCAGGCCACGAGCCTAATGGCTTGGTCGCGGACTAGGCTATGTGCTAGCCGCGCCGGTTAGGCCGTGTGCCTGGACATGATCGGCCATCGTGCCCGTCAGCTAGGCCACGGACTGGCTACGTACCCGATCGTGTGTCAGTCATTGTGCTTGACCCTTGTGCCAGTCAACGTGCTCGTTAGATCTGGTTTCGACCTAGTCCCGTGCCCAAGAAATATGGCCATGAGCCGTGCATTGTGCCATTCATGAGCCATTGTGTGTGTTTGGCCGTGAACCGATCCCTCGCTCGTGTGACCAGGCGTGGTGCTCGACATGTTGCTCGTGCAATCGGCATTGTGCTTGTGCAGCCGGTGTGGTGTTCAGCACGTCGCCCGTGCAGCTCGGCGCAGTACTCGTGCGGCCCGGCCATGTGCCCGGGTGGCCCAGTCGTGTGCCCGTATGGCCCGACAGTGCGCCAGGCCACGCGCCCAGTCAGACCCGGCCACGCGCCCAGCCAGCCGGTTAGCTTGGGTTTATTCCATTTTACTTGGGCCTTGGTTTGGTTGTATTATGTGATATTTGAGGACATTCTCGCACCAAACCTCATGTCGAACGGGTATACAAAGCGTGGAAAACCCTCGGAAAATTAACGGAATAAGTATGATGTGGGGTTGCGAATTTAGTATCAATTAGTCGAGTTTGTGTAAACCGATTGGCTCGAGAAGTTTGTGTGTGAATCTAGCATGCTCAGGAGACTAACGGTTCAACTATGGAGAGGATAAGAAGACAAAAAATTTTGACCAAGTCAAAGGCTCATTAAAAGCCATTTAAGGTCACCATTATTGAACCCCCTTAGGTGTCCCTCTCCTTTATTGCCTGGCAGGTGAGATGTTTAGCCTTATTAAGGCTGCAAGATGACTCATGGTCATCAATTATTGACACAAAACAAGGGGGGATTTGGCCAAGTGAAGATGGAGCCGAGAGAGGAAATCGGCCAAAGGAAAAAGGAAGAAGCCGAGAGAGAGAGAGAGAGAGAGAGAGAGAGAGAGAGAGAGAGAGAGAGAGAGGGAGAGGGAGAGAGGGATAAGGCCACATTTAAGTTTCTTAATGGCCTTTCATAATTCTTTTTGGCCTTAGTTCATTAATGCATTTTAAGGCTTTCTTCACTTTAGAGGCATGCATTAATGGCTTGGCTTCTTTTCCAAGCTTGGCTTGTTTAAAAAATGGAGAAGCCCTCACGTGAGGAAGCCTCTCTCACGCCCAAACACATACACTTCTGTGACATCCTGAAAAATTAGTCCATTTGGGATTTATGAAATACTGGATTTTATGAATGTACTCGTGGTCAGTTCTCGCCCGGAACTGATCATTCCTGGGATGCTAACCATTAGGGAAAGGCTAATAGGGGAAATCAAATTCGCGCGACTAAAGAAAATTCGATCGTGAATGGATTTCGACCATTAAATCGCGAAAGTGATATTTTGAGCCATTGTTGGCCGATCCAAGAATAGTTAGGGGTCGGTTCGCCACTGTCATAGTAGTGGATCGCGGGTGATTCCGCTGGACCACGAAACGACTTGACGAATAATCCTGAACCTATACCGAACGATCGTACCCTTCGGATCAAGTGATTGATCTTCGCGATTTTAATGACAGCCGTGGTCGTCACGTACCGAACAAATTTGCACGTGACTCGATTCAGTATCAGTCATGAGTCGATTCAGCGAATTTCCCCAGCAAGCTGCCCGTTAGCTCGAGTTGCATTTAATAGAATTTAATTATTGAATTTTTGCCCAAATTGGACACCGAAAAATTAGGAAGTCACGTCGAAACATTAGGACGACGTTGCACGTGACACGTGCGAATTTTTGGTGCGCTTAAATCCTTCGGAAAAACTCGATTTGGACAAGAAACGGAGAAAGTGACCAAAATACCCCTAGGATTTACTAAAGGACAAGCTTTAAGGGTAAATGGCATTTTGGTAATTTTACCTTCAAATTTTGATTGGACAATTTTACCCTTGGACTTTTTGAGAAATTTCAAAATCGCCCTTGGATATTTTGGATGAGATACGATCTGGGTCATCGATTTCAGGATAAGATCGAATATGGACCGTCGGATCAAAAAGATTAGAGAAAAGGATATTTTGGTAAATTACCACTTTGGTCCAAATTTGACTATTTAAGTCAAAATTTCTCTCTCCTCACTCATTCCCCTCCCCCACGGCAGCACACCCCCCCAAACCGTGAACTCTCTCTCTCTCTCTTTGGGCCGATCATCGTCCAAGTCGATCGTCGGACCGCCGCGGCTCCATCGCCGCTTGCTTTCGCCACCACCAAGCCGCACCGCCGTCCCCGCCGTTCGCCGCCGCGCTACGTTCTAGCCGCTTTAGTCTAGAACCAAGTAAGTTGTAATCTAAACCTCGCCTAGGACGTCGGGTATTTTTCGGACTCGTGTGGGTGCGGTTTAGGGGATTTAGAGGTTGATTAAGGCGTTGATAATGGTTATTGGTGGTTGAGTATGGCTGTTAGTGATTGTTGCGGGTTGGATTAGACGTCGGGAAATGAGTTTTGGCGGTTGGAATTCGGTAGAAATCGGTTCAGGTTTGAATCCGTGAGGTTCGGGGTGAATCGCGCATTCGCGGTTACTGTACCCGCCCGATTTGCTATTTTTGTAGAGAATTTTGTGGGCCGAATTTGAGGAAGGTTTCTTCATGAAAGTTGTTACCAACATCTTGAGGTATAACATACTTTAATTTGGGAATTTTTGGAGATCATTTGAGGCCATTCGGAAGTCCATCTTTGGACCGAAATAAAACTGCCCGATTTACTGTTCACCCGACCTTTGGGTCTGTTCGAATTTTTATAAATTTTTCCAGGCCTATTTTCAAAATAATTCCTTCACGAGAATTGTTGGGGACATTTGTGGCTATAACATATAAAAATTTCAAGGCTTTTAAAGATGATTTGGGTACCGAATGAGTTGTATTTTGATGGCCTGAGGGACTGTTCGAGCGAATCGGATTTTGTCTGACTTCAAGTGACCAAAAGAGGTATTTCCAGTTGGAACTGAGTTTCAAGTTCTTCACGAAAAATGTTCAGCAAGATGTTTTACGTAACGTGTCCAAATTTCAGAATTTTCGGAGTTCGTTTACTATTTATTTGGATGGGATTTTGGTCACTGTGTGAACTGCCCAGTTTTTTTTACCCGATTCTTTGGATGTTTGTTTTGATGGGCGGAATGGAGTTGGTGTCGGGATTGAATTGTTGATGCCTCGTGACCAGAATTTAGGCTTGAATGTGTGTTATATGAGATGATTTGAGGATGAAATGAGGATGTTTCGAGGCTGGAGTGAGATTGATTAGAGTGTCGGATATTGTGGGATGGAATTGGCGAGCTTAGGGCTCGATTTAAGGACAAATGGTGTTGGTTTGGTGTGTGGTAGTATAGCTGGATTGTGGTGTTTAATATGCTCGGAAATGCCGAAATTATGCCTATGAACGTGGCTGTGTTTGTGGGTCCATGAGTGGCCTTGTGTGTTTATTGAACTGTGATTTGATGGGTTGAAATGTGTTTGATTATGTGCACGCGTGGGCCAGATTAAATTAATTGTTGAAGTTGGCCATGTCGAATGCTGAGTGAGCATGTTTTACGTGTTAATTGATGCGTGCACGGGCCACGTGTGATGGGCCAGTTGGGTGTGGTATATGCGTGTCGAGCATGCGCATGAGTAAGAAAGAAATGTGGTGTGGCATGTGATTATGAAATTTATGTGAAGGTGTGGAATTGCGAGTATTGGGATCGGGCCGAGTATCATAAGCTCGGGCAGTGATCACGTAGGTCTGTTGCATTTGGCACAGGCTGAGGCTTGAAAAAAGCAAGGTTGAGAATAGGTCCGAGGCACGATCAGCTCGGGTGAGACCGGGATTGGACCGAGGCATCATAAGCTCGGGTTCCAATCATGTAGGCCTGTCGCATTTGGCGCGGGCTGAGTTGGGATCGAGCTTGGGGCGTGTGATGCTCAGGTCGCGATTGGGGCCGGAGGCGTGAACGGGTACGCGGGCTGGATGTGGTGAATGATCGCAGTGTGCCTGAGGCGTGTACTTCAACGCGGGTCACTGGCGAGTGTTGTGGAAAATGAATGGTCGCAGTGTGCCTGAAGCGTGTACTTCAACGCTGGTCACTGACGAGGAATATGAAAGAGGAATGAGGATGGGAGGAACAGTGGGATGAGAATGGTACATGCGCGTGTTTGCATCTGATGTAATTGTGATGGAGTGTGGGTGTGCTCATGATTGAGCCTGACCATATTAATTGATGTGTCTGCTTTGTGATTACTTGACGTACGTGAATGTGTGATTGCGTAATTGTCTGGAGGTACGTGATAGCCTAGGTAGGGTGTAGGTTGCAACTTATTGAGAAGTGTCTCATGGTTGTATAAACCAAACCATTTCAGATAACCCGCCTGAACAAGGAATCAGTCACCACCACCACCGTCAGAATGTTTTGGTACAGTCATGCACATCGAGGGTAATTTCGTGGAGTACATCCTGAATGGATGCCGTACCAAGGACGCAAGGACTGGTGAGGAGGCGATGAGCTAGTGTTCGTGTAGTACCGCTTTTGGTAGATAAGGAATTTGCCTCTTTAGATGTATGATTTTTAAGGTAATCGCAGTGGATGTGCATGTAAAATTTATGGACCCAGAAACATCGGGAAGGTGTAAGTATGTTCATATGTGGATAATGTAAGGTTTGTAAGTGTTGGCGGTTGGACGTGCAAGTTTAATTATGGTGTTCTCCAATTTATTGTCCGGGTTTAATTATTTGTTTCCGCTACGATTGACTCTGATGCGAGACCGTTGAGTCGGCGACGTATTCCTGAGATGTCGCACCGTTCGACTCATGGAAGGGAGATGTGGAAAGCATTGGATTTGAGTCGGGGCGTGACAACTTCCACCAACCAGCGATCATCTTCTCCTTTTTTGTCCTTGATTCACGCCCAAAAGAAGCCCCACCAACCTTTCTTTTGTTCGGCCAACTAGGAAGCCACGTTAGAAAATCGCCCGAGGCCCCGTTTTTCCCGAACTCAAGCTTTTTCCCATGCTCAAGCCCAAGCCGCCAGTCACTTGTTTTCTTTAGACTCTGATATTCTAGTGTTTCGTTGAGTAAGTGAATTCTCTAATATCGGAAAAGGAAGTTGCGATACGTTGTAACATGGTTTGCTTGGCCCGTTTCTTGGTCGCTTGGTCGATTATAGCTTGTTCTTTCTTTGAGAAATGATGTTCACGTGTGACAATCATGTTTGATGTTCTTTGTTGTTTCGTAGCACAAACTTTGCTATTGATTTGCCATCGATGCCGGTACGGTAAGAGCCAACTTATGTGAACGGCGATTGTCTCATCCTCGCTTGCTATTAGTGTTTTCACTTATTGAGTCTCTCAGACTCACTCTCCATTGTTTTTCCTCCTTTCAGGTCCGTAAGGATGGCGTCTCCCCCGACCCGGTTCGGAAATCTCGTAGAAATGAGAGCCGAATTACTCACGGTAATAGACGCCCGGGAAGGTCGTGCTTATTGTCGTATCACAACGTATGTGATGGTTGATGAAGGCCATGAAGACTTAGTTCCCCACCCATACGAGGCACGGTATCGCCTCGCAAATGGAGAGTGGGTTGGACCCCTTCGTGGGTTCAACGGGCCGTTCGGTGGACCAGGCGGGCCGACTTCGGGGCAAACCATGGGCGGGGCGTGAGACGATCGGACGGACGGGGAGCGGGAGGAGCAAGAAGCAAGAAGTGAAAAGCCGTAGTGAAGATATGGACCCCAAGCCAAAGTTTTGTTTATTCGATAGTTGGCTTGCTTTGCGAAATCGCCATTGAAATGGGCATGTAAAATATAAGAGTGGCTTGTCAGTGGCCGAAAGAAGGGCTTGACAAAATAAGCACGTATCATGTAAATATAACGTGCAATGTTTGCTTATCTTACTCGTGTTGTCTCGTTTATTTCTGTTTGCTTCCGCGTGCGCATTGATTAAAATGAACGGGACGCACTAATACATTTCCGCGAGTCACGATTCCGTTCGGGTCATGTTCGGTCATTAAACATCGATCGTGATTCCGGGTCAAGACGTGACACTTACCTCCACCACCTGAACAATCTATTGGACCTCAACGAATATGTCAACCTCCTCGTTACCTCTAGGACTATTGTTGAGTGCTTACTCAAACGTTAAGTTCCGCCGAAGATAATGGTCTAGGTATCTCTTACCATGTCTAATTTTCTCTGGTACTCATTTTAAATAACCCCATTAGGCATTTCTTACTTTTTTGTCTACTATCAATGATCCATCCACTTGCACTGAGGCAATGGGGCATCAAGAATGGAGAGATGCCATGCAAGCTGAAATCAAAGCTTTCTCATAATCATACATGGTCCCCCAAACCACTTCCACCTGGCAAGAAGGCCATAGGGTCCAAGTGGGTCTATAAAATTAAAAGAAAATTTGATGGCAGTATTAACCGATATAAGTTGAAGTGAAAGACTATCGTGATACCTTTGCACCTGTTACCAAATTAGTTGCCATTCATGCACTTTGGCCGTTGCCCCAACTAAGGGATGACCTCTTGAACAAATTGACATTAACAACGCCTTCTTATGTGGTGACTTGGACGAGGAAGTATATATGAAACCTCCCTTTGGTTTTCGGCATGAAGGGGAGGATCTTATGTATTGATTTCACAAATCTCTATATGGCTTAAAATAGGCATCCCGTCAATGGTATTCCAAGTTTTCTATTGCCTTATGTGACTTCGGTTTCACACATTCTCAGGCCGATCATTCCCTCTTTGTCTTACACAGTGGCAGTAACTATGTGTTTGCGATACTGTATGTTGATGATCTAGTCATTACTGGTACTAATGCTTCTTTGATAGATTCAATGAAGACTATGTTACATAATCAATTCCACATTAAGGACCTCGAGCCTCTAAAATATTTTTTGGGTATTGAGGTGACTCGATCTCACTCTGGTCTTTATTTATGCCTGCGAAAATTTACCATGGATATTCAAGAAGATTGTGGTTTTAATGGAGCCCGACCAACTAATACTCTCATGGAACAGAATATAAAATTGAGTATTGATACATGCACTCAATTGGAGGATCCGGGCCAAACATTGCTCATAGTGTCGACATCCTGAGTCAATTTATGCATGCACCACGCCATCCACATTTGGATGCAACACACAGTCTCCTATGATATCTAAAGGCTACCATAGGCCAATGGCTTTTTTAACCAACTAAAAATGAACTCCAACTCACATCTTATTGTGACTCGGATTGGGCTAGTTGACTATGATTGGGTATTGCATTTTATTAGGTTATAGCCCAATTTCTTGGAAAGCAAGAAATAAATAATGGTCTCACGCTCTTTTGCTGAAGCGGAATATCATGTAATGGCAGTAACTACATGCGAAATTATGTGGTTATCATACCTCTTACGAGACATTGACATGCCTCTCCAAGCCCTGGTTTCCTTACACTGTGATAACCAGGTTGTTCTCCTCATTGCCGCCAACCTAGTTTTTCATGAGCGAATGAAACATATTGAAATTAATTGCCATCTTGTTCGTGAAAAAATACAAGCCGACCTCATTGCTCCATTGAAGATTGGTATAGAATCACAACTAGCTAACGTGTTTACCAAACCACTAGGCTGAGATCAGTACATGCGGCTACTTTCCAAGTTAGGCGTCCATAACCTACACGCGCCAACTTGAGGGGGAGTCTTAGCGTGATCATATGCCATCGTGGCATCATTATCCCATGATTTGTTTTATTCAATCTTTCTATTGTACTTACCATAATTGTAGGAGTATATTTAAGAAATATAATTGTGAATGATGTATATATATATATATATATATATATATATATATATATATATATATATATATGTACATTTAGAATCAAAGAAAAATTGAATCGGTTCACATTGGGACCTTCCACTTTGTGTCTTTCCCATCATAAATGGTAAAAAGAATGAATGATCACTTAGACAAACAACCTTCCAAGTTAATGGTACCGAAAGGGCTCTAATAGACATTAGCGTAATCAAGTCATTGAGCTAGAATCTCTGGTTACGTAGAAAACGAGGCAACACTCCCACTCGTTTGGTTTCTAGCTAACCCCAAATGGCTAGCGGCGACTTCCATTTCACATAGAATGCTATAGGCTAAATTGAACTAAAAAATAATTCCAATTTAGCACGAGATTAGGGCTTGGAAGAGCCTGCACCTAATTGAAGGTCGTTGGCCTGCCTTTAGGCATTACCTATAAAACCTAGTCCTTTTCCCCCTCAAACAGAAAAGGGAGATCGTGTCATGTGTATCATAAACGAATCAACCTGTCTACACATGAATAATAAATGTGTCATGTGTACTTTAATTTTTAAATCCATTTGACACAATTAGACGTATTTGAGTAAACCGGTTGATGCCAACACGATGTGATGAGTTTAGACCCTATTTGATTCAACTGCAGTTAAAATGTAGTGTATTTGTTATGCTATAATTGCATTAAGAAGATATCTAACTTGTATGTTTGGTAATTTTGATAAGTTCTAAAGTCAGGTATGAGTGAGGCAACTCCTTAGCTACATCTTTGGAGGTATTTGCAAAAGATTTTTTAAAAGTTGCAGCACCCATTTTTACAAAAAAAAAAAAGTTACTGCAAAAAAGTTGCATCAAATATGTTTGAATCATTTCTACAATGAGAGCTCGTTTTGTAAAATGTCTTTTCCTACAATAAGCAGTTCATGTTTGAGTTTCAACGATATGATGATAGATGAATGAGTCAGGTTTGGTCAACCATAAGAAATTGACTAGAGTATAAGGTTTCTATAAATAAGAACTCCTTAATATATACTAGTTCTAAGCTCATCCTACATATGAATGTGCATTTGCCTTTATCTGTCCGGGTGCAAACACATGATCAAACAATTGATGGTCTTTTTATGGTCAATATATATTGCAAACACATAATAAAAACTTGTTTTTTTCTTTATGTTCAACATGATTGTGAATATAGGCGTATACTATCAAGGGAAGATACCATAAATCTCCTTAAGTGGTGCGTGCTTCTCAAAGTCCCTTCAGAGGAGGCCATATTTCAAGTACCTACAGCTCTCAATCGCTTTGACTTAGTAACTCCCATGAAATGGTGTCCATATCTCGAAGATCCTCACAGGCTTGACTTCGTTTCAAAAAACCCCGTGAACTTCATCACTTTGAACCAATACCCCTCGTAAGCTCATCGCCGTCGAGGATAATGGTTGGGTGACGAACTTGTGCTCATTACGTGCACATTTTGCACCTTTCCCAAAGACATTTTGGTCCAAAAACCACTATAATCCTAAAACTCTAAATTGAGTAAAATAAACCTCAATGATCCTTTGCGAAAGAGTGCCTAGTTGAGTTGGCTTCAGTCCACCACATTCTCATTACAATACTCCTCTTATGTAGTGCTGCAATTTTTCGATCTACACTCTAGAAATCCTACCCCTTTCTTATTGATCAAATTTAGGGCCTTTTAATGTTCTTGATGTGTTCTGACCAAAAAAAAAAACATTCTTGATGTGCATGGGAATGGCAAGGGAGAAATGTGGCTTTTTAGACTAAAGTGCCCCTTGAAAAGGGGCGAAATGTGTATGTGAAAATCAATATTATTTGGTCGGACATTATCTTTAATGGGAATGAACTTGGGGGAGTTATTGCTCAAAGTGATATAGTTCAGGCTGTAATTTGGACCAACGTGAAATCTGGGAGGAATTTTGAGAATAGGCACCAATTTAGA